CATCTCTATTATTTTGAATCCTCTAGTAATTATCAGATTTAGATTGGATCTACTAATTTTATACTCAAATAATTACCTAATATAAGTGGAATCATACAGTATTTGTCTTTTTGCAACTGTCTTATTTAACTTAGCATCATGGCCTCAAGGTTCAACCATGTTGTAGCTTGTGTGAGAATTTCCTTCCTTTTTAAGGCTGAATAATTTTCCATTGAATGGATATACCACATTTTGTTTATTCATTCTTCTATAGAGGAACACTTGGGTTGCTTCTGCATTTTAGCTATTATGAACAATGCTGCTATGAACATAAGTGTACAAATATTTCTTTGAGATCCTTCTTTCAATTCTTTTGGGTATAGACCTATTAGGTTGATGCAAAAGTAATTCCAGTTTTTGTTATTACTTTTAATGGCAAAAATCGCAATTACTTTTGCACCAACTTATAGATGCAGAATTGCTAGATCCTATGGTAATTCTATTTTCAATGTTTTGAGGAACCATCATTCTGTTTTCCACAGTAGCTGTACCACTTTAAATTCCCACCAACAGGCCACAAGAGTTGCAATTCCTGTGTATCCTCATTAATACTTGCTTTTTTCTATGGTGTTTTGATAGTAGCCATCCTACTGGGTGTGAAGTGTTACCTCACTGTGGTTTTGATTTGTGTTTCCCTAATGTTTAGTGATGTTGAGTATCTTTTCATGTGTTTATTGGTTATTTGTATGTTTTCTTTGGAGAAATGCCTATTCAAGCCTTTTGCCCATTTTAAAATTAGGCTCCTTGTTTTTGAATTTTAGTTCTTTATATACTCAGGGTATTGATCCCTTATCAGATACATGATTTATAAATATCCACTCTCACATTGAGGATTACCTTTTCACTCTGTTGATGATCACATTATTTCTTACAGCAAATTTTGGGGGTGGATTGTCTCCCCAGAAAACGGAGAAATTATGTCCAAATTTTTTAAAGGTAGGAAACACAGGATGACTAAGGTTTCAGGTCTAGGAGGAAAAATACAAATTCTTCAGCTATAGAAATGGCCCTTACCTGATTAGGGACCTCACAGTAATGCAAAACTGAACCTGTTTCAAAGCCACATTTTCTGTACAGTGCTGCTATTGTGTGGTGGGTGGTACAAATTTAGCTAACCCTACAAAATCCACTTCCCTAGACACAGCCTGCAAAGTTTCTCTGACCGCTAGTGGTGAAGTACCACAATGGCACTCATTAGTCAAACATCGCTCTTAGTAGTCTCATTCCCCCAGAGGCACACACTGAAAGAGCGAAGCTTTCCTCTGGGGTCTTGTGCTTGTGTGTTCATAGTCTTAAGTCACTGCAAAAAGTGAGAAAAACACAGGGGAAAATGAAAATGTCCACAGGAAACAGCCAACTGCACAGAGACCAAGCTTTGGGAAAACCTAAAAGGGGCTTTATTTCTCTACAGGGGGAAAGGACAAGAATGCAGTCAGCTCAGGTTTATACCAGGATGAAGTGAAATGGGTAGAACGATGCCTGAGGTTTCTACCTTAGGTAAATTGGTAGCCCTCAATTTCCCCAAATGAGCAGGTGAAACTGGAGGAGGCTCTTTCAGTCTTTGTAGTCTGTCTTTGGGGAAAACCAGGAGGTCACCAGCACAGAATATTTGTGTGGGGCCATGTGTGTCCTCCCCAAAGGGGAGAAGACAGCAGGCAACCTCAGCGTCGGAGTGACCAGGGAATAGTGGGAGCTCCCAGCCCAGGAGAGCAGAACCCTAACAACAAGCCCTTATGAGGGTCAGGTACATGTGCACAGTATGTCCCTGAAATGGGCTGTCAAAAGAAGGGAAAAGGGTACACTGAGGGTGTGTTTTGGAGAGGAGGGTGGTTTCAAAAAACAAACTTTGCTTTGGAACTCCAGAGGAAAAAGGACAGGGAATAACCTCCAAGTATATGTGGACAACATTCACAGCAGACCCCTTAGCTCCCAGATCCAAAAAAGTTAACTACATCCAACAGGTATGGCCAGATGGCATATCTGAACCTGATGTGCAGTTCTAAGAAGAGAATCCACTATTGTATTGAGTATTTCAATGCAGGGGCTCAGAGCCCTTAAGCTGATTGGACCTAAACAACCATTCATGGACCACACATGGCCTGACCACTCACTATGTACCTGTTACACTCAGGACAACTTGTTCCCTTCCTGTCTCTGTGACACAGACAACAAATACCATCACTTCTTGGCCATAGGTGGAGACCCGGGCCAAGGATACATGACTATGACCAAGGATACACGACAGAGCTACTGATCAGTCCTGAACAGAAAGGCAACAGAACGGCCTGTTGTTTCCTCAACCACACTTCTAGACCAAATTTCCTGCCCTGAAATGCTGTCCACGGCCAGGCCAAGGAGCGGAAAAGAGGCCTTTTAAAATTAGCATACTAGCGTATGGGGCTGGTGGGAGTCGGGGATGAAAAGAAGGATCTTGGAAGAGCTCCAGCTATTTTATTCCTGTTTTTTCATTCCAGTTTGGAGATCTGCGACACATTGATTCACAACTTTATAGTTCTTATTCAGCATTGATTTATGGGCTGACCAATCTGGGCCTAATCAGTCAGAGAAGGATTGCGTTTTTTTCTTTTTTGTCAAATAATGTTATATTTATGAGTCTGTGAAGTGCACCGTGGCTGCTGTGCTGCCTGGAGTCAATAGAACAGAACTTCTAAGATCTCAGAGAGGGGGGTTCCCAGACCATTTTCTGCCCTCATATCATCCTTAAAGCTCCACCGTACATTAAAGGCCCCAGGTGTCATCTCGCGTTTAAATTCCAAACGGCTTGCCAGTAAATCTTTAACAACTGTGAACAGCTATAGCAGTCTCAAATGTCCGTGGCTCTGTGCGTCTGTCACTCTTTTTTCCCTCTTTCCTTCTCTGACTGTGGAAGTAACTAACCCGCAGCTGGATGCTTACTGGATATTTCACAGCTGCAGAGACCAGGACAGCATTGATTCGCTCAGAGAAGCCCAGCCAGGGCCGTGCAGAGTTCAGCGGGTTATCATGTGCTTCCGGCTTGATTTGTGGTTATTCTGGTTCAGTGACTGTAAAGAAATGAGCGGCCTGGCTAGACAGGAACTATTTGAGAAGCCTGCCATGGAGGGGAGGAAACAGAAATACTCAGATCGCAAGCATCTTTATGTTTTTCTTTGACTGGAAAGACATTTTCCTTGTCACACTCTTGGCAGCTGTCTGTTCTCAGTCCCCAACTCCGGTTAGCCCCAGCAGAGTCATCTGCAGGATGCCTCAGGCAGCAGTTTCCCTGCCTCCCTGCCCCCATGGGTACCAGCAGTAAATGTCGCTCACCAGCCTTGACTCCCCAATTCACCTGACAAAGGGTTCCACTGCATGATTTATCGTGAGGAAAGAAAAATTCAGCAACAGCAAGAAACTTCTCAGAAAAGCCATAGGCATCTGACAGATGAAGGAAGAAAGCTGCCAGTTCTACATTTCAGAGTCTGAGCCTATGAAACTGACCAGTTCTACCCATAAAGAAGGAGTCTTCAATGTCCTAGAAGAACTGCCAACCACTGCTGGGTGAACGATCTGACAGGTTGTCAAGGTCAGGGATTGGCAAACTTTTTCTGCAAAGGGTCACATGGTAAATATTTCCAGCTTTGAGGGTCACATACGGTCACTATCACATCTTCTTTCTCCACTATGACTTAAAAATGTAAAAGTCATTCTCAGTTTACAAGAGCAAGTCACTGGCCATTGTTTGCTGACCGCTCCCCCCTCCCCACCCGTGGTTTAGACAAACTAAAATTGTTTTTATTTTAAATTTTGTATCCACTCCCCTGCGTGTACCTGCATGTACATGAGCATGTGGCCTGACAGCTCCAGGCGGTCCCAAGGCGCCACACCTCACCTTCATGGGGTGGAAGTAACACTGGAGAAACTCACTCCAGGGAGCCAAGACATGCTATGGCAGAAAGAACACAGCCTTCAGGAGACATAAGCCTTCCTCCCAGCTCAGTGCTACATTTGTTCTATGCCCTGAGCCAGTCACTTGCCCTTTGTGACCCATCCGAGATCCATTTACAGGGTGAAGGAGGTCAGGCTAGATGATGTCCAAGCTCTCTCCCAAATGCGATATTTCCTTTAGGTATTCCAAACCCATTTAGGAACAAATCAGGTTGTAAGAGAAAGGAAAGGATACAAATATCTTCTGTTTGTTCACTCTAGCTCAAAGCACAGCCAATTTTGAGGTGACCAACCCCCGCATCAGAAAACCCCCTTTGGGAGAAGAGTGGCTGGCTCAAGCTGCATGCAGGGAGACCCAGGAGGAATGCTTGTCAGCCTGTGGGTGCCGGCCACCCCTGCCATGCTCGCCATGGAAACAAGCCGCGCAGCCCACGCACCAGGCCAAGAATCTGGGCAGCTCGAAGGAGCCATGCCATTGTGGGCAGACACCGAGGCTCCCAGAAAACAAGCAAAGGCGAGGCCTGGAAGCTGCAGCGGAGACAGGTCATCATGACCTTCCCTCCCGGGCCAGTGCCAGACTGGCCAGCGGACAGGTCTTCATCTCCATCCAGGTGGCCCAGGCAGCCCTCAGGAAGTAAGAGACGAAGCTCACCACTGCCAGCATGGGCCCCGGAACTGCTCCCTCCATCAGCATGTATTGGGTACCAGCTACACGCCTGGATGGTGTTGGGCCCTGTGGGGACAGGTTAAACAGGGCACAGTGCCTACTCTGGAAGGAATGGCAGGGCCGGAGAATTGGCACCCTCCAGCAAGCACATGGCCAGTAGAAATAGTACCTTGAGCATTTTGAAGGAAGAAGCTGGAGCTGAGAGCCTTGAAAGATGTTCCTGGTGCCCCTCAGCAGGGACTGTGCACATGTATTTTATGGAAATGGTTTGAGCCCACTGGGTACCCTGCCAGCCTCATCCGTGAATGCAAAGGTTAGAGTCAGCCTGCTTGAGCAAAGGAGAAAGGGGGACCTTGCTTTATAGGAGACTTAGTAATAATTTGGTAGCTAATGCCCTTGGACCTCGGGATACTAATGCAGTCACCATAGAGACCTATAGAAATCCTTGCATTTCCTAGTTCTCATGCAGAGTTGGTTGTTGAAGTCAGATGGTCTGAGGGGGCGAGAGGAAGGTGATAACATACAGTAACAGCCAAGTCACGTTGTACATAGAACGTGATTCACAACATTGACCTTAAAGGGCTTAGGGGCCGTTGGTGCTTCAGAGCCATCAAGTCGACACAGCCCACTGGCTTCTCTCCTCCTCTTTCCTGCACCTTGTCCTCTTTTTCAGTACCTCCTTTCTCCCTCCGCACCTGACACTGATGTGGCTGGTGAGGGATGAGGGTCTTGGTAAGGTTCCCTGTTTTCCAGCTTTCTGCTCCAGTTTCCTGGGATTTTCTCATTTTTCAGAGACCTATTACTTCCAGAAAGCAACTTTGCTGCCAGCCAGCGGGAGAACCACTAGCCAAAGGCAGCTCAAAGTCCCAAGGCTTTGACCTACTACCAAGAGGAAGTCTAATGGGAGAGGCAGCTCCAGGTGGGTGGCACAACCAGGGCCCTGGAGACAAACAGATCCAGTCTGCTCGGAACCAGCTGGGTGACAATGGGCAAGCCACTTGACCTTTTCATGCCTCAGTTTCCTGATCAGTGAAATGGGAATGATAGGCCCTATCTCCCAACCTTGCATACAGGATTACTGCAAGGAATAAATGAGATCCTGTATGTAGAGTACATAACACAGGACCTGAAAGGGACCCAATAAATACTTGTGCAGATGTCCTTCTGGTAAAGGAAGATGGCCGAGGGCCAGTCCCTCGGAGGTATGTGGCTATGGTTGAATGTCTATGTCCCTCCAAAATCTGTATGTTGGAACCTGACTCCATGTGACAGTATTAAGAGGGGGGGCCCTCTGGGAAGTGATTAAGCCATGAGGGCTCTGCCCTTAAAAAGGGCTAGAGGGAACTGACAAGATCTTTTTCGTTTGTGCCCTTCCACCTTCCACCATGTGAGGATGCAACAAGGGATGCCATCTTGGAAGCACAGACCAAGTCCTTACCAGACACTGACCGTGCAGGTTCCTCAATCTTCCCAGTCCCCAGAACTGTGAGGAAATACATTTCTGTTGTTTATAAATTGACCAGTCTCAGGTATTTTGTTACAGCAGCACAAAAAGACTAAGACTTATCTGCCTATGGGCAGGCTGCCTTCCTGTCTCCCAGAGTGGCAATGCACACTGGTTAGCCTGCCCTTGCCCAGAGCCTAGCAGCCCACCAAGAAGGTTCAGAAACCCCATCTGTCTGGGCTCTACAGCAGAGCCACTTCTCTGGGCCAGTCTCCCATAGCATGCTCTAGTGACATAGCCTGAGAGCCAGGAGGTAGCGGTCACCACAAGGTTCTACCTGTGGCTAGGTCCAGAGAGCCAAGCCTGCCTCTGCTGGCATGAGCACTGCCCATGTCACTCTGTAGTGCCCCATCTTTGGGGCCTCCATGGCTGCAAGGCCCCTTCTCTGACTGATAGTTGCTCTCTTTAGGTATCCCGCTGCTTTGATCCACAGCACTACTCGTGCTGATCATTTGCGTACTTGCTGTCAGCTGCGTTCCCAGCCTTCTTTGCTCTGCTCTGGCACAGCAGGGTGAGCCTCCACACGCTGCATTTCCCAGACGCTCTCCAATGGGCTTTCAGTTAGGTTCTGTGAAGAGGAGGCACTGCCAGAAGCCTGGCTGATTCCTCCCTGCTGGTCTCTGGTGGGGTCCCCAGCAGTTGTGACAGTGCTGTTGACACTCAAGGGTGACAGTGGCAGTGGATGCAGTGGCAGGGGCTTTGGCTTAGCAAGTGCTGCTCTTGGCTTCCTGTTGAAGCAGCCCAGTTCTATAGCCGTGGCTTGGAATCACACCGATTCTGGGTTCCGAGGAGACATTCCCCCTTGGCTCCTCCAGCCTACAGCTGGTCACGCTTTCCTGCAGCCGCTAGTCTTCAGATAACCTTACCTTACTCCACTGCTCCTCCATGCCTTCCATCACCCAGCTGCTGATTCCTCAATTAGATCCCCTCAGTGTGAAAACTGAGGAGGGCTTCTGTTTCCTGACTGGACCTATTCATCACTTGAGTGACCACGATTCATCTCTGCAGCGTGATTTTACACATCTCTGTTCTGGCCTGCTGTGTGCTGATTTTAAAGTTTAATCTTCAAAAGATAGCTTTGTTTTATTTCCCTTTTTCCCAGTTTTTTAAGTGGAACCACTCCGAGACCCCAGTGTTCCTCCTACCATTCATTCACTTCCCTTTTTTGAACCTTGGTGAAGCCATAGCAGTACTGAAAAAAGAAGTTAGAGTGTATGCCCTTGGACCCAGCAATCATACCTCTAGGAATTTACTTATACAACATGCTCTTCAACAGAAGAGCAAAAAGATGTATACTCAGATTTGTTACAGCATTGCATATAATGGTGAAAAATCGGAAGCATAAATAGAAAATTGGTTAACTAAATTTTGCTTCATATATAACATTGCTTTTTAAATGAAAATATTTCTATCATCTATTATCAAGATTTAAAAAACAGGTTACATAACAGCGGGCATACTATGATCACAGTTAAGTAAAATTGCACACGCATAGGTATTTGTATATAGACACAAATGTTTCAAAGAGTAGTCGCCAAAATATTGACAGTGGTTCTCCCTTGGGAGTAGATGAAACTTAGGGTGTGTTTTACGTTCATAAGTTACCTAGATGGTTTCTGGCCAAAGATTTCAATCACTGCATCTGTATATAGGATTTATAGGTGAGCTCCTCTTTGTTCTCAAAAGATTTTGGTCTTTCATTGTTTCCTAATGCAAAAGAAATCAGTTAAAATCAGAATGAAAGACCATTCAAATCAACAAATGAATAAAAACTTGATGCCCCCAGTTGCCGCAGTTGATCCAGTTTTGCTGTTTCTTCAGCTAAAGAGCAGATCACAGAGCAGGACAGTCACTTTGGGCCATCAATTTTCCTCCTGAAGAAAAGAAGGGGGAAGCTCAGCTCAGACCAGAGTCTGACTCTCACGCTACCAGAGTTGCCCCCTCATGGTACAGGACTCAGGAGAGAGGAAGTAACGATAACTCGATAACCATAAAAGGACATTTGGACAGCACTTTCCAGAATGCCAAGCCCCATCACATCCATGTCTGATTTTGACTGGCTGCGGTGCAGCGGTGTTATCTCCATTTGATTCAGATCAGTAGACTGAGGCTCACAGGGATTAAAGAACACTCCCAAAGTCAAACCACAGGAAGCCTGGCCTCCCTTCAAATACTAATTTCACCACACCTTGCTGCCTCTCTCCACCCCCTTCAAATTGCTTACACACTGGAACTGTTGAAAATCCCTCTCTGTGTGAGAGCCAGGCTGGGATCCCATGGAGGGCAGAGACCTTATCCTATTCATTTTGTGTCCTCAGTCACCAGCATTGTAGCACTCAATAAATGTTTGTTGAATTGGATTGAACTTCACTGAAACATTTTTAGAAGTGGGAGGCTAGAGCTAACATACTCTGCCTTAAAAAAAGAAAATCCCCAAAGCTTTGGTGAGAGTTGAGGAATCTAAGCACTGTGGGGTACAAAGACAAGCAGAAGCTCCTGGGGCACAGTGGCAACTCAAACCAGCAGGAATCCCAGAGCAGACAACCCCTCCTTACTTACTTGCTACTCAAAGTGTGTCTTGGACCAGTGGCATCAGCATTTCCCTGGAGCTGTCTAGAAATGCTGAGTCTCAGGCCCCACTCCAGAGCTTCTGAATCAAAATCTGCATTTTCACTAGCTCTCCAGGTAGTTCCTGCATATCAAAGTCTGTGAGGCACTAGAGGTGCAGGAACTTCAGACTAGGCTGCTACCTGCCCCAGAACACCACCTGTGAGCCCTGCAAGTGCTCCCAGAAGGGATTTTATTCTGTCCAATGTGGCCTCAAATGTGGTCTCAGATTCTTTCTTTTCTTTTCTTTCCTTTTCTTTCTTTCTCTTTCTTTCTTTCCTCCTTTCTTTCTTTCTTTCTTTCTTTCTTTCTTTCTTTCTTTCTTTCCCTCTTCCTTCCTTCCTTTCTTTCTTTCTTAAGACAGAGTTTCACTCTTGTTGCCCAGGCTGGAGTGCAATGCCGTGATCTCAGCTCACTGCAACCTCCATCTCCTGGGTTCAAGCGATTCTCCTGCCTCAGCCTCTCAAGTAGCTAGGATTATAGGCATGCGCCATGATGCCCAGCTAATTTTTTTATTTTTAGTAGAGATGAGGTTTCACCATGTTAGTCAGGCTGGTCTCGAACTCCTGACCTCAAGTGATCCACCTGTCTTGGCCTCCCAAAGTACTGGGATGATAGGCATGAGCCACCATGCCTGGCCTTTTCATTTGTTTCTGAAGAAAGAGCAGCATAGCATGTTTGCTTCTAGCAAAGAAGCACACTTTATTAAAATTCTAATAGGAAGAGGAGGAATGCCCTGCCTCACCATGGGAAGCCAGATCCTGGAGAGTGTGGGTCATCCCAAATTTTTGAGATTCTACATAGGTTAGTGGATCTCAACCAGGGGACAGTGGCAATGTCTGGAGACATTCTTTGATTGTCTCAGCTGTGGAAACTGGTCATTCTGGCAGTGTGTGGAGGCTGGGGATGTTGGCTTCCTTCATATTTATTGCCCCGTCACTCTGGAACTCGGTTTCCACCCAATCCAAAGAGGGGAAGGGGGTTTGTCAACTTTATGGAGATCTGGGAATTATGGAAAGAATCAGAAGAACCATTAAAAGCTAATTGTTGTCACGTGCAGTGGCTCATGCCTGTAGTCCCAGCTACTTGGGAGGCTGTAGTGGGAGGATCACTTGAGCCTCGGAGGTAGAGGCTGCAGTGATCTGAGATTGCACCTCTCCACTCCAGCCTGGGCAACAGAGTAAGACTCTGTCTCTTTTAACAAAAGATAAAGTGTATTAAATTTAAAAAGAAGCGTATACTTCACAAGTATGAGAAAAGTTCAACAACAACTCAGAGACTACAGGAGGGCTGGGAAAAGCAACTAAGCTCAGAGAGAAGGGGGCCGTGCAAAGGAAGAAACGCGGCAGGGAGAGCCCAACGTCCAGAAAGTGGATATAAATTTTTTTTTATTACACAAAATACTTTCTTATTCATAAGAAAGACTTAAATACCCCCCTTTCCCCAAATAAACCAGATTTTGTTTCACTTCTCTGTTTTCCAAACTTCTTGAAATGTGGCTACGAGAAAAAAATATTTTTTTTCCAAAAACGATTTAAACAAACAAACAAACAAACAAACTTGTGAACGTCACCAGAGATGGTTGCCCCACCAACGCCGCCAGGGAGGAAGGCTGGAGCTGGCCTCGCTGCTGCTTTGATGTCACGGTCTGAGCTCCGCTCCCTCCACGCCACGCGGACGTCGCAGGAGCTGGATGTGAAAGAGCGTTTCTCTAAGCATCTTTCTCGGGGCCCCACCGCTGTCTCCAGGCACCTTTTCTGCCAGAAGCTCAAGACAAGAGAAGGGCATGTGAAGGGCCAGGAAGCCGGGCAGGTGCCGCCGAGGGAGAGCCGAGGAGGAGGGTGGGAGGCGCACCCCGGTCTGCTTCACCCTGAAGCGCGAGGCCCTGCGTTCCGCCGGGCAGCTGCGCAGAGCGACTGCTCCTCCCCGCGCGCTTCGCTGCTGGGGAAGGACAGGCAGGGATGCTTGGTGCACGGATCCCTTGGTGCCCGGCGGCCCCGCCTCGCCGAGCTCCATCAGTTGGCATCAGGAGCATCTGGCAGGGGCTCAGGCTGGGGCCCCAGGGACGAGGCCAGTTTGGTGAGGGCCCGCGCTATGACGCCCAGGTGGCCGTTCATGGTCCGCAGCTCCACCAGGATGTCCCCGACGTTGGCCTCCAAGCTCGCCGCAGCGGCGGGCCGGGCGCGGGGCGGCGGGGATGAACCCGCGTCCACGGTGCCCTCCTCCCTGCCCGCGGCGCCGGGGCGCAGGGCGCAGCTCCTTCCCAGGCCCTGGGCCGGTGCCAGGACGGGCGGCGGCCGCTCCCTGTCATCCCCGCGTGTGGCGGGAGAGGTGGTAGAGAGGTAGCCGGGCAGCCAGTCCACCAGGCGCGGAGCGGCCTCTGGGGAGGAGGCGACGACTGAGTAGAGGCCTGCGCGCCGGGAGGTGCCGGGGCCGGGAGGCGCCGAGGCTGCAGGTAGCGGGGGCAGCAGCGCAGGCAGCACTGGTGGGCCCGGGGAAAAGGCCTGGGGCTCGCAGGAGGAGGAGGAGGGAGACGGCAGGGCGGCGGTGGAGGGGCCCTGCTCTTCCGAGGAGAGGAACAAGGTGGTCGAAGACTGGGAGTCCAAGGTACTAGGCTCCGAATCTGTCAAAGAAGAATGAGAAAGAGTCACTCAGGCATGCATGCTCTTCAGCATTCATTGTGCGCCAACTCTATGCCCAGCTCCATGCTAGGTACTTAAATGAGTGAGAAGGTGGAAAGGTATTTCTTACCTCTCAGAGCTTGCAATTCAGTAAGAAAGAGTGGGCTATAGGAGCAGGTAACGGCTGGAAGAGAGAACAAAGTGAGGGTGTGGCACAGAGCACAGGTACTGGGGGCAAAGAAGATCAGCGAGTCCAAGAAGGCATCCTGGTCTAGCGCTCCTCTGGGTCTCGAAAGGTGGCACGGGTGTAAAGACAGAGGCAGCTCCAGGCAGGGGACCATGACTGCATCTTATTTGAAGGCAATCTTCCCAAGGGCAGCCAGTGAAACCTGTGACAAGAAGGCCCTTCCCCAAGACGGCCAAAAGCATAACTGTGTTAAACAGATGACCCGCCACTGCCCCATCAGAGCAAGACTCTTGGGTGGAGGAGAAAGTTCAGAACCAGAAGCCAGGAGACAGTGCTGATTCTTGCTCTGCGGGAGAATGCCATGGAACCCTGGGCAAGCCCCATCCCTCCCTGGAAACTTGGTTTCATCCTCCCATCCACATAAGAAGGTTGGGCCCAGTGGCCTCTGGGGCCCTTCAGGATAGATCATCCTGCCTTCAAAAGTCTGCAGCTTGAGGCACTGATCTAAGTTCACAGTGGGCGCACTTAAAAATCTGGAAGCACTTTACCGACTGACTCATGTTAGTTCTCCCCTAATCCCTGGAGCTTCCAGGTAGAAAGCAGGCGGCAGCTGTTTGTGACTGGGTATGGAAACAAGGTTTACCAACCTCAGATCAAAGGAGCCACATGAATGACAACTACCTTAACTCAGCTATCTCAGCCGCCCTGGTGGCTGCCACTGGGGAGATGGTCCATGCTCACCCTGGATGCAGTTCTGAGTTTTACTGGAGCCAGGTCCTGGAGGCTTCCCTCCTGGTTCCAGCTAGAACGTCTGTGCTTGGCGTTCTGCATTGTCTATTTGGGTGCCCACCCTGGCACCATGCCCTTCAGGGATTCCAAGCTTTTCAAAGGCAGAACTTGGTCGAGTACCTCAGCTTATTATCTTGGGGAGGGTGACCTGATGAAAGCGTCAGTGAGTAAACACATCCCCGCTGCCTGCGAACATGTGTGCTTTCGTCATGGGTGAGCTGTTCCTTCATCTGGTGTCTGGCTCAGACTCAGAGAAGCCCTAGTCATCTGGGGAGAGGTTGGTCCCTCATCCCTCCCGACCAGTGTCCAACAACGTTCTCACAGAGCTCCCAGGGCCCAGATGTTCAAATGTCCAGTTTGTGTGGGAATTGTGTCTGGGGGGATTCAGAGAGGCAATTATTCCTCAGACGACAGCATTTGAGGAGAAGCCAGCAATGTGGCTGAGAACTTCTCTGATGGAAAAAGTTCATGGAGCCAGGCACGGTGGCACACGCCTATAATCCCAGCACTTTGGGAGGCCAAGGCAGGTAGATTGCTTGAGTCCAGGAGTTTGAGCCCAGACTGGCCAACATGGTGAAACCCCATCTCCACAAAAAACAAACAAAAATTAGCTGGGCACACTGGCATGTGCCTGTAGTCCCAGCTACTCAGAAGGTGAGGTGGGAGGATTACTTGAGCCTGGGAGATTGAGGCTACAGTGAGCCATGATCACACAACTATGCCCAGCCTGGGCGATGGGATGAGATCCTGTCTCAAAAAAAAAGGCTCATGAATACTTTCTGCTGTAGACTTTCACAGAACTGCCTCTCCTCCACCAAAACTAAATTTCCCCAGGTATCTGTGATTATCTTCTTTTATAAACCAAGAATCATGGCTATTTCTAAGAACCTAACCACTATGAGTTGAAAATGATAAAAGAGAAACTCCACAAACTGTTTTCTCTAGTTTTACTTGAGAAATGTTAATGAGTTTCACATATCCAATTCTCATAGCAGACAAAAAAAAAAAAAAAAAACTCTATATTAAACCAAATAGAAGTCTAATTTGTAAAATGAAACAGAGGTGAGCACATAGAATAGTCTAGGGTAGAAGCAACTTAGAGGCCTAATGCCATCATAAAGGTAGTGATAGCAATAATGCTGAGATTTCTCTGGGCTACCAGGGGTATAAAAAAGGTGACCTCGGCTGGGCACAGTGGTTCACGCCTGTAATCCCAGCACTTTGGGAAGCCGAGGCAGGCAGATTCTGAGGTCAGGAGTTCGAGACCAGCCTGGCCAACATGGTGAAACCCCATCTCTACCAAAAATACAAAAATTAGCCAGGCATGGTGGCGAGCACCTGTAATGCCAGCTACTCAGGAGGCCAAGGCAGAATTGCTTGAACTAAGGAAATGGAGGTTGCAAGGTTGCAGTGAGCCAAGATTGCACCACTGCACTCCAGCCTGGGTGACAGGGTGAGACTCCA